AAGTTTCTCTTATGTAGGTGTAGCTTATATTTGTCTTGATTTTTTTTTAGGATGGGGGCCTTCTTCTCTCCGTGTCTCCCTGCCTTTAATGTGTTGAAGCTGATTGGTTTGATGTATCTAAGGAGCTGGGCGGTCCTCACCTGCAATGTCCCACATCAGCAAGTGTTCAGAGCATCAAGGTACATGTCACTGTTTTATTTTATTTTACTTTATTTATCCTGGAGGTCACATTGAGATTCAGAGACCTGAGACTCAGAGGCAAACTGTTGTGTCCTTGGGAACTCTACCCATGTTGAATACTAGGGATGGCTATTATATTGGTTCCAATATTGGGAATATTATTCAATAGGTATTGGTAATAATACAGGGCTGTCCCAGATATTGGCAGTGGTGAGATATTGGACAATGTCGCAGATATTTGGCACCAGCTTTTTGTTATACTGTCATGAGTTTCTGTGTGATGCTTGAGTGCTTATTAATCTGTCATTAGAGAAGGAAAATGGCATAGCACAAACTGTGTTTTCCAGTTTTCCCCCCAAAGCTGTGGATTTTAGTAACTGCTGATCTGTAAAGCTGATCACATGAGCAGCTTGAGACATTTGTCACGGTGAGGGACAGGAGGACACTGGACAAACTGCTCTCCATCATGGACACTCCTGCTCACCCACTGGACCAGACTATAGAGGGACCGAGGAGCTCATTCTCCAACAGGCTCCTACAGCTCCGCTCAAACAGTGAGAGACACAGGACAACATTCATACCATACTCCATACAGATGTACAACAACTCAGCCTTGTGTAACAGATAACCCTATGTCCTTGTCTAAGTTTACGTACTTTGAATACCATCAAATGAAAGAGCAACTGCACTATTATGTTAGCTTCTAGTCCATATTGAATAACTTTGGTAACATCTGATTTTTGCTTGTTCTCCTCAGATCAAATAACTTCTACCTGGCGATGCTGCTCTTCATGCTGTTCCTGTGTATGCTGCCCACCATCTTTGCCATCGTCAGATACAGACCCTCTCAGCATTGTGGCCCATTCAGGTACTGGTACATGCTTTATTTAATTTATATGAACATGAATAAACCTTTTTCTTCTTCTTCTTCTTTTCGTGAGAGATACAAAACAGTCTTAAGAGCCCCTAGGTTAGATTTCATTTTGAAGGTAATGTCCAAATGCAGATGTACCCTAATGTTTATTTAATAGTTTTCCACAGACATAAATATATGAACAGTTTTGTAAGGATTTATTTTGATGTTGTCCATACATTTTAAAGTAGTAAAAGTAATGCTTAATTATATTTGGTCCAAATCAGAGAAGTAAAAGATGTGATAAACAAATCGGAGTACCAGTATAAATGAGTTTTATAACATTTGGGGAATAAACAGAATTATAAGATTATTTGATTTGTGTAATGGCATTGTAGTCACTGTAAAATGTGTATAGTAAGAGTATTTATGTATGGGTTTCAAAGTGGTTAAAAAAAATGAGGTTCATTGTCATAGCAATTAACAATTCAAAACAAAATATCCTGTCTTTTGAACAGTCAAAAGCCTATAATTGGAATCTGAAGTCCATTTATATGTATTTGTTTCAGTGGCCAGGAAAAGATCTACGACATAATTTCAGAAACGGTTGAGAAAGATTTTCCTTTGTGGTTTGGTAAAGTCATGAGCTACGTCACCAGTCCCATCGTAGTGCTACCTGCTCTTCTACTGCTCTTGTAAGTCTATCAAATACTTAACAACCGTATATTCATGTTAAAAATGTACATATAATCTGATATTCCTCCTTTGTTTTAGCATGCTCATATATTACCTGCAGTCCATCGCTCGATCGCTGAAATTCACCAATAATCAACTAAGGCTACAGCTTCAGACGGTAACTCTCTATTATTTCTTTGTAAAAGCTATTTTATGAGACAAACACAGCACAATGTCCTCTCATTGCACTCCACAGTCTGTTGCAGCTTGGTGAAGTAATATTATAAATGCTCTGTGAACGACATCTAGTGGACAAACCTGTCAACTACAAACAAGCTGTTAAATTCTGTAGCTGCTTGCATGCTGTGTTTCTTGTTTTTTAAAGATTGTAATATTGTGTAATATTTGCATTGTTGTTTACAGGGAATTGTTAAGGAATAGATGATGAGATAATGCAAAGTTTAATTCGTAATTACACGGGACTGTAAGGATAAATAGTTAGATTGATGTGTTCTGTTTTAGTGGAACAGTAGTTGTGGTTAGCACTCTGACTTCACAACATGAAGGTCTGGACTACCTGGCATCCTCCTGCTAAGGTAGTGCTGACCAAGCTTAGCTCAAGATCTAGAGATGGGTTACTCCACTCCTGACAGATTACTCCTGCAGCATTGCATGGGCCAAATGCAGAAGACAAATTTCCCTACAGGGACAATAAAATGAACCTTAACCTTCTGTTCTGTTCAGGAGCGGACAGAGGATAAGAAGAAAGTTTTCCAGATGGCTGCAGGTATCTTCACTGTAATATTTGATCCATAAACTCTTGTTATGTATGTATTTGTAATGTAAAAACCTAATAATAACTATAGATATAATTCCTCAGCCCGACTGCAGGCCCCGGAGCCTACCGCTGATCCGAGCACAGAGCAGCAGGAGAGCGACATCACCAGTCACGAGGCGTCCATCCAAACCCCGTCACCACGGAGAAACGGCAGCGTCACCAACTTTCAGTCTCCTGTTCGCCGTGGCAACAGCATCAGGACCATCACCCAGTCTGCCTCCAGGTCCGAGCTGAACCATGGGGGGGTACCAGGGACCTCCCGAAGTCCATCAGTGTCTATCCTGCCCAAGCACAGGCTGGAGCACAGGTGAAATTTTACTTAAATCATTCTTAGAGTTGTATTGATTATTTTGTTAAACTGTTCATAGAAATTAATTGGACAATAATCAAGTGGTATAGGAGAGAACCTAAGTTACTAGATTATTGTAGAATCAAAGTGTTAACAATGTAACAAACCTGGAAAGGCTTTCAGGTGCTGTTTCAGACTCTAACAGGACTCTTGTTCTGTAAGTTCTGGGAATATAATTATTGGCATGTTAGAAGATAGTGGCTTATTTGATTGAAGGCATGTGGTAGAATAGTTTGCACTCCTAGACTGCATGGCAGTAGTTTGAAACCTGTAGCATTACACCAACCAGCCACAATGTTCAAGCATCTGTTTTTGTCTGACTGTTTTACTGCATCAGAATCAAGTTTTTAAAAAGAACCCTGATCCTTAAAGATTGGCACAGATAATCTGCTTTAGTTTACAAACTTTTTTGGAAGTTTCTGGTTTGGCAAGCATCACACTGAAGCACTCAAAGTTACAAAACATATTTTGGTGCTGTTCAAAACAAAGGTCAGTGCTGGTTGGTGTATAAAACACGTAAGACATGCTTAACTTAATTACTTGTGTAATTAAGTATTTAGAAGCATATTTTTGTATCTCCAGACTTTAACTTTATCTCTTTGCTCTTCCCTTTTATAACAGGCCCCCACCATCACATAGTGGTCATAGTGGTGCTAGCAGCTCCTGCAGATCAAAGTCCTACCACCAGGTGGTGTACAGTCCTCGTTATTCTGACCACTTGACCTCTGAACCTGTGTACAGAAAGACCATCCACACGCTCCATCCTGTGGAGAGGATCATCACAGCTCAGAACTTTGGGGGCCGGAGGGGTCACACTACGAGATACGTCATCGTCAATGAACACGAGCCACGGAAACACCTGCTGCGCTCGGCAACCAGAGTCCCACGACACTACCTGATGGAGGAGCCCGCTGAGATCCTGGAGCTGTACCCACGAAACTTCAAACGCTACACAGCCCGCGCACTGCACCACCAGCCACACCTGCACCGAGCCCACCAATCACAGCACAACCTGAGTGAGGAAGAGGAGGACGAAGAGGAGCAGGGCCCCAGCACCAGGAGGAGGATGCCTTTAGGAAAGACCCTCAGACCCAAGTCTCTGTCTGACCTGAACCAGCCGGCACACTTTTACATCGGGGAGCGGGCTGAGAGCCAGACCTCTATGGCCAAGGGCCCGTACGAGGCGCCAGAGGAGGAGGAGGGAGAGAGGGACTGGGGCGAGTTAGAGCGTAAAGCTCCTTCTCAGGGCAAAGCCAGGGGGGTGGACCAGGTGGTACGCACCCGGAGGTATGTGCCCTCTTCAGTGAGGCACAGCGGGTCCCCATCCAGAGGCAGACATGTGGAGGCTCACGTCAAACCAAAGACCAGGCCCAAAGTGGACACCGCTCTGACCGAATCTGACTCAGCGTCTGTGGCCTCCAGCAGTGACCAGCAGAACAGCAGCGTAGACCAGTACATCCAGGTCATCCACAACAAGGAGCGCTTTGTGAAAGCAGATGCCCGCCACGGAAAACTTGCCAAGAAGAAATCGAAGACCACCTTTGACCCCAATGTCACTGAGGTCAATGATCTGGTCTGTTCCAACGTTTGACTCATGAGAATCATTAAGAAACTATGCACAAGATGTTTAACATGTACTACGCCTCATTGATTCTGAGCTATTTATTTTATTTTATGTGTTCTGTTGTGTTAATGTTTTCATTTTTGCATAATATGTAACATGATTTAGGATGCACTGTGCTGTACTTGGTGTTCTGATACATTGTACTGCACTTAAGGCCTCACCTCAGATGTTGTTTCACAATATAAAAGCAAATGGTTTGTTCCCATCATATACAGTACTGTAGACAGTAACCTCCTATAAAACTATTGTGATTTTGTTTGTAACACAACTCTTGCACTTTTGAAGAGATTATGTTTGAGACAAAAAGAGTTGTGCACTAGTAATTCTGTTAGGAAATTAAATTTCAATGTCTGTGAACATTTGTAAAGTGAATGTATTTATATTCAAAGTCTAAATACCTAGATTTACAAGTAAAATATGTTTATGTCATAACCAAGAGTTTAATCATGTAAATGCATATCAAACTTATTTAACAAACATATTTTGAACTTCCGGTAAAAAGTAGTTTTATATTTACAAATGAAATGGCATGGACAGATGGTGAGGCAAAAGCATAAACATAGCAGATTACAGCGTATTCTGTCTATGGTAATAAAGAAAAACAAAAGAAAAACCTCTTAAAACAAGCCCTACTAAAACCTGAGATTCACGTTAAAGCAATATGGTTTCAAGTATAACTCATCACACTACAGGAGAGCCAAAGCAAGAACTACAACAGGCAGGTTTGGTTTATAAATGATTCTGAAATGTTCAGAAAATGAGTTTTTCTGCCATGGAAAAACAAAGCAATATTTAAGATTATATTTACTGACAAAACACCATCCTGTAGGTAGTTATATGACACAAGAGTATTTCAGGCAGAAAAGCTGATACACATACGCTTGATACAGGTTAATATGCTTTCTTACAGTATAAAACCATATCAAAAACAACCTTTTGTCTCTATACAAAGTCCCTGTTTATGTACACAGCTCAAACTTGCAGTATCCCAGTCACTTCAGTCAATCCTTTCAGTTCAAATGTCTCTATGTAACGTTCCCAAAAATATTAGATTTCTCATTGTACATCACAGTTATAATTGGAAACATTAAATAGTAAATATAGTACAGTACACTCTTCTTGCTTGCATTGGTCTTGTGTATTCTTCTGTGCCTTGACCACGTTCACATTGCATCCAAATGTTATCGCTAAAATCTGATTTAATATACTGTCAGTACTATTCTTATAAATGGTACTGTCATTGTATTTCAACATTAATGTGTACACATATAATATAACGTTTTGTGCATTTAAACATCGAATTAGGGCTGGGTAATAGTGTTTTCCTCATAATGATTTATCTTGATTTTCAATTCAGTTTTATTGTTTCTTTTCAAAAACTAAATAAAAGTCAGTGCCTTTTAACAAACAAAAAGCCCAATTTCTACTTCCAAAGTCAAAATTCTGATAAAACATCTTCTAAACCATATGAAATATTATGATAAAAGTTGTGCAAAAGTACAATTATTCTCAAAAAGGCATAGGAAGAAGTGTACATGTATAAACTCCTTCCTCTCCACTTTTACGGGCAGTAAAATAAAAATTAAAAATGACTCTCGACCTCAATTATGAATCTATTAACTGCCCTGCCCTACTCCCATATTTTTGTCCAAATCAAAATAAATTTATACAGTACAGTTACTTATCCAAATACTTTGATTTTGTCTTCTTTTATATTTTAATTTCTTTTTAAAGACAGTAGAGTAGGTGTATTTACCGTCTCGTTCTGGCAGCTCGCAGCCAAAACATGTCAACAAGGTAAATGCATCTCCTACTGTGTTGTTTTTAAAAAGTTAATAGCCCAGTTACTTAGCTTAATTGTTTTAGCAACATCTGACTGCAGTGTGACCATGGCCAATATACCTCATGGCAAATACTAGACAAACATTAGAATACATTTTTATATTTAAGTTGACAACCAAATCCAGTGATACTAAAATTAAAACAGAATAAACAGGTAATTGAACACTAATCTCTCAATTGTCTATTAATTTGGTGAGCTATATTTGTGATGACTTTGCATATTCACTGACAAAATACACTTTTATTGCAATATTCAACAAAATTATATACTGTATTTGCAGTAAGTAGTTCTCAACGTAAAGGTGCACTGTGTAACTTTTATGGTGGAGGATCTGTCTCCTGTGTGTCTCCATGGACATGTGGTTGCTTTTACAGTATGGAAATAAACTTGGTTATCACAATGGAGACAAGTTACTGGTCAGATCTATGGAAAAGCAAACCCACACGTAGTAAAAATTCATGTTTTTCAATATATATAAGATATAAAACACCAGTAATTGAATACAGGCAAGGCAGATAAGTTTAATACCATACTTTGTCAAACATTTCATGCATCTCCATCAAGAAAGTAGCCAGCCCTCCACCTTAGAAGTTACACAGTGCACCTTTAATCAAACCTGTCTGTTATGAGAATACAATGTCCTTTCATAGATTCTGGCAAAGCAGGCACAACAAAACAATACATGATCTGTTTGTAGTTGTCAAAGGCATTTACATTACAATGAGAACACAATATATAGTTATAAGTGTGCATCTTGCTTCAAAACTTGATCCACCAGAGTTTGGACTCCCATAGACTAGATTTGCTATGTGCTGCAGGATCCAATGGGAAAAAGGCATTCAAATCCAATACCATCAATGTTATCCATATCAGTGGTGATAACAGTATTTGTATTATTGTTTATGAGAAACTGAAATGGTAATAAATAAATCCTTCAGTTTGTTGTGAAATAAAATCCAGACGTCATGCTTGTTGTTTTAGTTCAGTAAAGTTGAAGGTGAGGGTGCACGTGTTTGCAGTTCATATGAAATACTTTGTTTGGTTTCCAGGGAGATTGTTCCTTGTTGTTTCACGGTTTGGAGTGTTTTAGCTTCTCGATGTGGTGGCACAATTTAAGCGCAGGCCCCAGTTTCAGTCCCATGTACTTCATTATGACATCGCTGCGTAACAGCATCAGAGCCTTCCCGTCAATCTCCTACAAAGAAAAATTACAGTACAGCTAGTTTAATGTAAGACAATGCCACATTACCAGCCAAGTCATACCTATGACCCCAGATACAAGGCAGACCTCATCAAATCAAATAATTTTACTGGTAACAATTGTTCTTATGTTGAATCTCAAGACGATTATCAAATGAGCATGATTACCATATTTTTCAGACTATAAAGCACACCGTATTATAAGGCACAATATCAATAATGTTGAATTCTCTCGTCTATTTTCATACATAAAGCACACTGTATTATACGGCGCATTAAGCGAAACCAAACAGTCAGATAAGTCAAACTTTATTCAACTCATTCACAATAACTCAATAACAGAATATGGATTGTCCTGAATTTTTCTGTCCGAGCCCGGCCTGTGTCTGACAGAGCAGTGATCGAATCCATCTTGAGCCAGACACAATTAAAATCACACTATTTTCATGGGCCTAATGAGGATATTGTTTGTGTGGCCTCTAACGGACACAGAGATGCAAAATACAAACTCCAGATACAGCGAAAATAATGAGATTTAATACATAAGCCACAGTGTCGATTTTTGAGAAAATTAAAAGATTTTATAGTCCGAAAAATACAATATATAAAGCAGAAAGAGCATTATTTGGGTTGCCTGTTCCATTGTCTAAATCCAGTTAGTTTAAACCTAAAAGGACTATCTGATCTGAATTCTCACTACCTCTATATGCATATTTATATTTCAGCTGTACTTTTATTACCTTTTTAATAACTATAAGAGCCCTGGCTACATACTGCTCCTTTAAATTACACAGTTCCTCACATTTATAGCTGCAAAATGTTTGAAGAACTATAATAAATGTGCAAAAAAATTGTAAAATACTCACATGTTTCCTGAACAGATCTACATGTGGACCCAGAGTGTGGGGATCTGCCTCTTGGACAAACCGGATCACTTCCTCCACTGTCCAGGAGGAGGCATCATTTCCCGAGGTCTCTGTGTCCTGCTTCATATGGTCTGGGCCTGTAGTAGAGCTGGGAGCTGTAAAAAATATATTATAATAAAATAAAATTAATTATAGTTGTAGTTATAATTATAGAAAATAAAAATAAAAATGAAAATAATCTAAAAAAGGTTTCAAGGTGCTCTTTGAGAAGGGAGGTCAGTAAAAAGATGCAAAAAACCCAAGGCACTCACTAGTTACAATAAAATGCCTTTATTAATTATTTTTACTGAAAATAATCTAAATTTGAATGGAAATGTTTATGATTCTGGGGTGAAGGAAGTCTGGGAGTCCCTGCTTAGACTGCTGCCCCTGCGACCCGGCCTCGGATAAGCGGAAGAAAATGGATGGATGTTTATGATTGACCATTCTCTGCTTACTTGTTGTGCAATACTTCTCTTCAGTTTTTCACTTTTCTATAATTTTTGTCTTAAAATGATAATTGCTATGAAAAAGGTGATCATTTATTACCAATATGAACCATGCATAATGCTGGTGAATTCTGGTGGGTTGTAAAAATATTACTGGATTATCGTTATTGATAGAATAATCATTTAAAAATCAAGATATTCCCAACCCTACATCGTAATACTGAAGTCATATTTTCATGTCTTTCTCTCTTACCTTCCACTCTTCTGGTGATGTGTGCTGGGGTGATGTCGGAGGGATTGGAGTTGACTCGCCGCAGAGGGGGCGGAGTCTGCTGGGCGTGGCCGTGGTAAAAAGCTCGCTCTTTCTTTGCCGCTCGATAGTCAGCGCTGTTATTGTGAGGAGGACGAGGGATGGGAGTGCTGTCCTTTGAAGAGTTCTCATTGGACAAACCGTTTTCTGTTTGGCACAACAGACATTATAACGAGATATTGCCTTCTTGATGCATTTTAATGTAATTCCATTGCTTTCAAACAATAATATGAAAAGAAAAAATAATAATAATACTGATACAAAAAACTTAGGTTAAAGTAAAAAATATTGGTGAAAATACTACTTGAGAACTAAGTTACAGGACATTTGATTTATGTTTTAATATCTGCAAGTGAATTCAAGGCATACTACTTACTGTGACTAAACTATAAATATCTAAGAATTTGAAAACTAAAGAATATCTTAAGGCAGGGATCTCCAACCTTTTGCACCTAATGAGCTACCTTTACAAAATGAAAATGCCGGTTGGAAAACCCTGTCTTAAGGTTATTAAAAATAGAAAACAAAAATATACATAAAAGTAAGATAATTGATGCACATAGTAAATGAAACTAAAGGTGCATTGTGTAACATTTCTGGTGGAGGGTCAGTCAAATGCTTGTCTTCCTCGAAATGTCATTGCTTTGTCTGGAATATTTCACACTATGGCATTAAGCCTTTCTATCTTCATGGTGACCAAACAAGGCCAAGTCTGAATGCCCATTTTTCTTGGTGTTTTTGAGCTATAAAGAGACTTATAATTGGATAAATATAAGGTAGAGATGTTTAAAGTCATATTGTGGAGCATTCCAGGCAGAATAATGACATATCCATAGAAACAAACAGGTGAAGGATCTGCAACCAAAAAGTTACAGTATACCTTCAAACTTCTAAAAGTACAATTTTCAAATAAATGTAACTTAATATAACCCCACCCTGCGCTTTATATCCTGAGTTTTACTGAACAATTTAAACTAATTTAATCCTGCTATTTTTTTTATCAAGCTGCCACAAACTAAAAAATACACTATGCAAAATCTAAAACACATATTTAGCTTCATAGTTTCCCCAGACAGTGTATAGTCTGACCTGACTTGCTCCTCTCGTAGTAGCGTGTGTTGTTTGTGAACGGGCTGAAAGGCTGTGAGCTGAACACACAGTCGCTCTCCAGATGTGAGCAGAGGTTTTCCAGGAAGCGCAGCACGGACGAGGCACTGGACACAGACGGGAGCTTCACGTATCGGATACCATGGTCTGACCGAACTGTGGACACACAGAAATACATGGAGTTAAATCATCAAGGAAAACTGTTTAGGACTGTCTAAAGAGAGGTTCTCAAAATGTGGTTATGCATAAGCTTGTTCTGTGCTTGTTTTTGGTCTTGGTTGGGCCATATCAACCAAAAAAATTTGCATACAAAAAAAAAAGAAAACAAAACAAAACATGCTGCTTTTGTGGCTTCCTGGCTGCCATAATGAGAAATTTTGGAGCGTTCTGTTTCTTGAGCTCAGTTTTTTTACATCATATCATAGATCATGGAAGTAAGGGACAGGTGGCTGTGTGAAATTAGCTTTTTGTTTTTTGTCTCATATCCATGGAGGCCATGAAAAAGACTAGGTAAGGAGGTAGCTAACTTAGACTTAGACAAACTTCATTGATCTACAAGGAAAATTACTTGGAGCTAGTTATGGACATTTGAGATTCTACAGGCTTTTTTCTCCATATGTGGCAGCAAATGTGGTAGAAGACCTTCCAGAGGAAACACTTTGAGAGAATGAACCATTTTGTCACTAAATGAAACACCAGAGCGGAGTAAAAGTGAAGCCTTTTGCTGTTGTGTTCACCTGGCGCCCCCTGGAGGTTGCTGTGATGCTGCAGGACATAAAGAAGGGACACTTTTGGCTCTTACTCTCCTCCGCCCTGTCACAGATCTGCTTATCCTACCTGACCAGTCCTCCTGTTAAACCCCACTGAGACCTCTGACTGAGACACAAAGGCGACTGAGATGTGCAGTGTAAATATTGCTGCATCAAAACTTGAATTTCCCTCGGGATCAATAAAGTATATCTCTATGTCTATCTATCCATCCAGCTATCTATACATATATAGTCAGTTTTTAGATTTGTCCTATTTTACTCTGGCTGTTCGTTCATATGCACAATGTTTAGTGCTGATTAGGGATGTAACAATAAAAGAAATATTGTGATATCGTATCGTCACAATATCGAACTACAAGTCTCTTTATTTAAATTCATTGCTATAGTGCAGCTATATCTAAAAGCAACCAGAGGGAACGACATAGACCATGATCCTTTGGTGCTGTCAGTGGAGATTTAACATTAATAACAATTTTAAATCTTAATTCTTCATATTACAACGGTACCATTATTAACAGTATCAATGTTTTTTTTAAAGAAGTAAGTAGCATATTCACAGTTTTGTTAGCCTCCACAAATATTGCAATAAATATCGTATTGTGAGATTTGGATATCATTACATCCCTAGTGCTGATTCTATTTGAAAATATTATGGTAAATGCAAGTCATTTACAAGGTATGTCTTCATAATGCTCTATACCAACCATTTTTGGCAAGAGAATCAGAGAATTATACATTTCAGTTTATTTCAAACAGAGGAATAAATTGAAAAAGCGAATGGGAACTGCGATAGAAATGACAGAAGAAAAGAGACAAATAGCAGATGTTTTGGGATTATCATCTCGCCTGCCCTTCTCAAACAACCAAACTGCATTAGACCCTCCCACCCAAGCCAAGCCTCCACAAATCCACAATTAAGCCCCGCTCCTGCCCCTCCCGCCCCCTCCTGCCCGGTCCAGAGCTGATCAGACCCCCAGGGGAGAGGCACTTCCCAGAATCCCACACCAGGTTATGCGCACATGTCAGCATTGATTACAGACTCTCAGCTGCTGCACATGGCTTTGGCTTTGTGTAAATGATAAATATACGCCATCAGATGTACTAGTATAACAATATAACATTTTGTATGGTAAGTAAAAAAAAAATTATATTTACATACATCAGTTAGAAACTATTGGCCTGAAGCATGAAAGCATCAAATTTCCCTGTTAATAATTTATGCTACAAATTAACAATTAACATGAGTTCTGTTCTCAGGTAGTCAAATTTCTTCTCAAAAAAAGAGTAGTGCCTAATAAAATGTACATATTAAAGTCACCCGCACAGCAAATGTAACACAGGTAAAGTTGCACTACTCTGCAAAAAAACTAAATCTAGTCAAGTTAAGATGACTTGAATTAAGAAATTTTTATCATGATTTGAGTCGATTTCACTTCACAAGTAAAATTACCTGCCAGAGGAGTAAAATTTTTTGTACTTAAATATGAAAATACATCTTGCTACACTTAAAATAAGAAAAACTAAAACTTTTTGCCCTTAAAAATCGAAAGTTGCTTGAATTAAGAAAAACACACTTATTCCATTGGCAGATAATTTTACTTGTCAGGTTGACTCTACTCAAATAAATTAAAATGTTCTTAATTTAAGTCATTTTAACTTACCTAGATATAGTTTTTTTTTTCCAGTGTATGTAACTTTACTAGTGGGACATTTACCACTTTTTTGTGATGAGAGCATCCTGGAATATTCCACAGTGAGGCATTAAACTATGAAACTCCATGAAAATCTATCTTGCATTTATTCAGTAACACATTTTTGCTAAAAAAAAAAAAAAAAAAAAACTTAAAAATGCAATAAACTGGGCTTATTCACAGATCTGACTTGTCTCTATCTAGCTGCTTGTCTCTATGTAAACAGACTGGTTTAATGCTGTACTGTGGAACATTCCAAGAAAAGGAAAAAAAAGACTTGTGACAGGCCCTATACCATGAAGGTTACATAGTGGAGCTTTAAGAGACAAATTAAGGGTCCGTTCACACAATCACCACACAAACTGGACCTAAACTGGGAATAAACCTGGAACTAAACTTGGGTTTGACTAGGACTAGAATAGGACCAAACCAAGTCTACATTAGGACTCAAACTAGGCCTAACCAGAACAAAACCAAAGACAAGTGTGAACTGTGAACACATACTGAAACTCAAGCAGAATCATTAACAGTAGTGTTGTGTGTCTGACCTCTGATGACCTCTCCTCCGCTGTGGGACTGGCTCTGCAGAAAGGTGAGCAGAGAGGACGGCGTGTAGGTGCAGTCCACACACGCCTGGACTGCCTGCTGCAGCACCGAGTTCACCGGGGCTGGGCCGAAGTGGTCTGGGAGCTGCTGGACCAGTTTACGATCCAGGTTTGGACCATAGTTTCCGTGTTTGTTCACATACACACATACTGCAAAAGAAGGGACAAATACATGGGTTGAAAAAGTGTGTACAGACCTACGGCCATGTAACTGACCCTACAACCTGCAGCTCTATAATACACTTGAAGGTATTTTTTTAGTTCAGGAGTATTGTTTATATTGTTATTTCAGACACATGAGTCAGTATTATTATTTTTATTTTAGAATATTTTAAAGGAACTGTGTTTTACTGTCTTAAAAAAGTGAAAAACAGAAGTTCATTTGAAACCATTTGCTCAGGTCTAAGCTTATTTCCCACACATTCCTAGTAGAGAGTTTGGCTGTCATATCAGTGCTACCAACTAGTATGCTAACGAAGCACTAGCCTTACTTCCTGGTTCAATGGTGATTTTTTTTTTTTTTTTGAAGATTTTAAGCAGAATGCACGCCGCAATCTCGTTTTGACCTTATGAGCTGCTTTTCCAATTCTATAGCAGTTTTGGGGCAAGACAAATGTTACTTTATCACACAAAATAAACCAGATACAGACATTTTAACTAAATGGTTGGAGTATAAAACATACATTTACTTCTTTAGTAAACCTTATGGCTAATCTGATCTGATCTTGATTTCATACAGATTCGATTTTTAAGTCTAACTTGAATAACAGAGCTTCAGACAGAGCAGTGCCTCCATTTAGCACGATGACATCAGCTGCAAAGTATCATTACCAAATAAACTTAAGAAAGAAACCAACTTGTAAGAGGTAGAACTTGTAATTGCCCATACTGAATGACCGTAAACGTACCATTAGCATTCATTAATTATTAGCAGCCTTGGCTTAATGTGATTTACCTGTGCAGACGACATTGGACCCGTTGCTATGGTTACTGTCCTTGGAGACTAGACTGGAGCTGAGTCTGGTCTCTGAAGGAGACGGTGAGACTGGGGAGGACCCTAAAGACTGGACCAGGCGGGACTTCCTCTGTGCCAAACACAAAGAAACGCTCATTAATTAGTCAGTCTGGGTTCAGATCTTAGTCTTTGTTTAGTTTTGGTTTTGTCAAGGAACTGTTAAGGTTTAGTATTGCATTTAGTCCTGGTGGAGTTCTGGTTAGGTCATTTGTTTAGTCCTGTTTTATCCTGGTTAAGTCTAGGTCCAGTCTTGTTTTAGCTATGTCCCCTTTAAGATCACAGATTATGTTTAATTCTGCGTATCTGTCTTAGAAAAACATAATCGGTCGCATATGAGGGTTATTTTGTTGAAATTAAAACAGAAAGTTGTTATTTATTTGAAATTACACACCTTCATACCTTGAAAATGTTGCAAAATTATTATTAGATTATCAGATAAGCCTAAGGTATAATCTATATTTAAAGTCCATATTACACTATCTTCTGATCTATGTTATAATGTTTCCTCGTCACAAACAGACCTGGAGTTGTCTTTTGTTTCATTCACACATGTTTAACACACAAACCTGCATATTTAGGCTGAGTTCATCTCTCAAAACAGAAAACACTCTGTGTCCCCTTGTGATTTCATTCGGAAATACAGTACATCATTGTGTTTTTAACTCCATTCACCTTCAGTAGAATCATTTGGATAATTTCAGTCCTGTAATAACCACTACATGACATCACAAAGTAGAACAGAGCGTTCTGAGCTTTGGAGATGTAAACAGAATAATACCTAAGGGTTACTTAAATGTGCGTGAATGAAACAAAACACAACTCCATGTATGTTTTTGGGGAGGTGACAACATTATAACTTGGCTTAAAGCTCACATCAACAATCTTGCATAATACAGTCATCCCTCATTATATTGCAGTTCACCTTTCACAGCCTCACTGTTTCGTAGATTTAGTTTTTGTACAATTTTTGCTTTTTTTTTTTTTTTTAACGGCGTATGATCGCGCGTTATGCTCCTCCCCCTGCATCCAGATTGGCTATGGGACTGTAGACCATTATCAATCAATCTCCTCCGTGCTATGTCTCCTGTACAATATAGAATGTGTTCAGTTTACCAAATTTACATAAATCTTTGATCGCTAGCAGTGTGATTCTGAAGTCCTGTATGTTTGCAAGTTTTCTCCCCATCAAAATCCAGTGTCAATGGAATGTTCTACACCGACAAAGGCTCTCAAAAGACAGAGGAAGATGCAAACCATCACACAAAATGTTGGACTTCTGGACATGCTGAAGGAAGGTAGAAGTTACGCAGCTGTAGGTGCCATTAAGGAATAAATTAATCTTCAGTTCGTTAAATAAAGAAGGAGGAAAATAGCATAAGGATGACAGAAGCAATAAGTTTTAAGAACAATGCCGAAAGATAAATAAAGTGTGTAATGAGGGGTTTTACAGCCTTAAAACATATATAATAATAAAACTGACTACTTCACGGAAGACAAAGAAAGTGTATGTACCATATAGATTCTATTTTGTTACTATAATTAATCATTGTCTTCACAACTGGCTTGTATTAAGGGCTGGTTTAATCTTTATAACACTGTTTGACAGCTAAATAAATACTCTAGCGCTATTAGTTACATGTTCCCAAATTAGAAGAGGATTTGGTACAATTTATTACAAAGATTTATGTTAACTCCAAACTCTAAATAAGCTAAGAACCAAAACAGGGCAGCCAAAACAGCCTCTTTGCTAAACTTGTCTCAACATAATGTATTACCTCCCCTCCCCGTCTTTCAGTCCCCTGTCCTCCTCTGCTCTTTATCACCTTGTTAGCCAATAGCCACATCCATAAAACATTACCAAAACTCAATGGGCCATATCATAACATATTACTCTTCAGATGTAGTGTTTACCCGGCTGCCTGGCTTCGGACCCCTCTTCTTGTGTGGTCGGGGGGCCAGTGTTACCCCTGTGGAGATGTTGGTCCTGGGGGGGCTTTTACTGGACAGTCCATTCCCATTGACCGATGAAGAAGAGGCTGCTGCCGCCTCTGCAGCTGCTGCCTCTGCCGCGGCCTTCAGGAGGGCGATGGTCTGGGATTTGGGTCTTCTCCCCCGGACCCCCTTCCGCACCGGGAGGGGGGGTAAGGGGTGGGGCAGGCGGTACGAGGTCTGCATGAAGGAGGAGCTGTGTGACGAGCGCCGAGTGGTGAGAGAGGAAGAGGAGGAGACAGGAGCCAGGAGCGCACTGGGCAAAGTGACTGAGGGACAGAAGAAAGACAAAAGATTAATACTATTTTTATATCATCAGTTTAAAGTGCATATAACATGTTTTCATGATTTTCTAATTATTACTTGGTTTGATAATAAACATAAAGAAGTGAAATAAGGGAGTGTGACGTCACCCAAAGCATTCAGGTCCAGTTAAATGAAGTTGTAGCAGTTATGGGGCATATTTGGTGCTGAGCTCCGTATTAGGAATAGCAATTTATTCACTAGGGATGTAACAATATCTAAATGTCTTGGTACGATATTTTCACAATATACATCTCACAGTAGGATATTTATTGTGATATTTTTTGGAGGCTAACAAAACTGTGAATATGCTACTTTTTCCTCTTAAAATGCCATGACAAGACTTAATAAGATTTAAAAGTGCTTATAACAGTTATTCCGTCATGTAGTCTGCACTGAAATGGAGCAAAGGATCATGGTCTATGTAGTTCCCTCTGTTTTTTTAGCTATTGCTGCACCATGACTCTTAATTTAAGCAAAGAGTCTTGTAATTTGATATATTGTGATGGTCCACGATATTATTGTGAGACCTTTGACAATACGATATCACGATATTTCTGTTACTGTTACATCCCTATTAGTACATACAAAATAACAAAAGAAAAACATAAAGATCATGTAGAGTTGGTTAATACAAACATTTTAAAACAGTGTCCAAGCGACCATCACTCAAACCTTTTCTACATTAAGTTGGTATACAATTTCAACAGATGTACTTAAAGGTGCACTGTGTAACTTTTCTGCTTGTTTCATAGTGATGTTATTGCTTTGCCTGGGATGTTCCAAAACATGGCATCTTGGATTTATTTATTTTTTAATATATTTTTAAATGTGTGTATTTTTTTTTTTTTTATTTTTTTTCAGATGAAACAGGAAACGCACACCAAGGTTCTTGTAGAGGTGCAAATGCAAAGAACTATGAAATAAAAGTGAAAAAATGCATAGCACACTCAGATGTTTGTTTTTTTTTTATTTGATGATTGTATGATTTTTATTTATTTTTTTAATAACGTTTTGGCAAAAGTTGGTCTTTGCTGTGCTCCGAAGAAGAAGAACGAAGAAGAAAAATGATCTGATAAAGGCTTTTTTGCCAAAACGTTATTGAAAATTAAAAAAAAAAAAAAGCTTTGGGACATGGGCCATCTGAGTGTGCTATGCATTTTTTCACTTTCATATATTTATTTTTTTATTTATCAAAACTACCACAAAAACATGCATTCTCACTGAGAGTGGGACCCCTTCTCACCAGATCTAACCAGTAAGGTGGTGATGTGGCCTGCTTGTCTCCACGGAGATAGTTAAATTAAATGCCATAAGGTGACGGACCCTCTACCAGAAAAGTTACACTGTGCACCTTTAAGCAAGCAAACGCAATGATGCACAAAATCAGACTTAACATCCCCCTAATCATTCAATTACTTCATATTGCGATGCGTATGATCTATACAGACACTTTTACCAAATAATTGGATGGGAATGTTCAAAGGTCAAAGACTAAATGCAGACTGAGCTGTTTTGCCTCAAACAGAAGATCTTCTGTTTAAAACACTTTCATCTAATGAGGTCCAAAGTCAGGAGCCTCAGGGCAACGCTTCAGGAAACAACAATCAACATCATTATAAAGCCGCTCAGATGGAGAGGGGTCAGGAAAGAGAGAGTTTAACTTTCCATCCAGTAATTAAGGTTAAAAGACAAGGAAATTATCTGTTTGATTCTAAACCCTAAAGTTAAAGCCTGAAAAATGAACTTAATATGACCAAATAAGGATGAAAGAGGAACTGAAACAAACTGAACTAATTCATCTGATAAAGAAAGACATAAATAAACTTGTTTGTTCTGAAAGTCGAAACAGAATGTGAAATTGTGTTTCAAATGAACTAGACAATAGACACTCTGAATCAGTTTTAGCCCAGTTATTATTTACAAAAATGTATTACAAAAAAATGTATTTCAAATCTGTAAAGGCCACAAGGTTCTTAACTCTGGGAAGTATTAAAATAGGTCCAAACCAGTGCAAGAAAACAATTGGTAGCATTTTATTTTAGGGTACACTTATTAACATCTAACTACCTGTTAATTAGAATAGTTGTAGATGCTTAATTTGTCATTAATTAGTATTTATTCAGTCCTTATTAATGTCTAATACCCCATAAGCTTATTCTGCTATCAGTTAGACATTTACAAACACTTTCCATTTAATACACTCCTTATTAATGTTTTTTAGTATGATACTAGGCCATTTTTTCCCGTGAATTGTTTTGTACAACTATCTATTCATATATAAACCTTTAATATGAATGTCACAATAGATGAATTAAGGGTGAAGAAGAGACCACTTTAGAATAGGGACCATATTTCATTTTAATTTGTGTCAAACTCGTCATTTATTAAAAATGATCAAAACATCATATTAGAATGGGGAACATATTTAGAGCTTAATGACTTAATTCATGGCTACTTGGACTCTATTAACACCAAATAGAGAGTGTTTTATTAGCCAAGAGTAAACAAAATGTATTAAGTGTAAATAGTGTAAAGTGTAAATAAAAGTAAAAACTACATTTCTTGTGCTACTAGTCCTTAACAACACATTTATTACCAAAGGTTTATTAGAATGATGGACAAAAATGGCTTAGTATCATATTAATAAGCAGTAATAAGGAGTGTAACAGAAAAGTGTTTGTAAATGTCTAACTAACTGGAGAATAATCTTATGGGGAATTAGACATTAATAAGGGCTGAATAAATACTAATTAATGACAAATTAACCATCTATAATTATGCTAATTTGCAGGTAGTTAGAAGTTATTAAGTGTACCCTAAAATAAAGTGTTACCAAATATTTTTATAGCAATGAAAGTTTAAAAGTGTAACTGTGTAACTTTTCCGGTGGAGCGTCCGCTATCTGCTTGTCTCCATGGTGGTGTTATTGTATTGCCTGGGATGTTCCACAGTATGGCATTAAATAAATATATTTTGCATTTATTCAGTTAGAGGGGGTTTTGTTTCTGAAAACTACCACAAAAATGATAATACGTTCAGCGAGTGGGCCCACTTCTCTGCAGATTTGACCTGTAACTTCTGGTGATGTCTCCATAGAGATGGATAATTAAAGCCACACTGTAGAACATTCCAGGAGAAAATGATAACATCTTCATGGAGTGAAGCAGGTGATGAATTAAGCAATGCACTTTTAAGTAAAAAGCAAGTTATTTAAATATTTCACAGCCTAAAACAATGATGATCTGTAGATTAAAATCCCTAAAGTCTCAATTATAATTGACACACCAACACTTTTTAAAACATTTTGAGTTGTTGAGTGCAAATTTGTATAACTTCTTTACTTACTTTTTCAGACAATAGACTGTACTACGACGCAAAATAGCTAGAGAATGTTTTCACTATCCCTCATTGTTTTCCTACTTTAAAAATCATGGCGTCTTATTTTCAACTGTCACTCCTCCACTTCTCACTCTGCCTTCCTTATCTGCGCTCGGCTGCTGCTAAAATCCACATCCCAAAACAATGGCCCTTGAGTCTTTTAAAGAGACATCATCCGTGACCAAACAAAGAGGGTCCCTGCCTGAAGGAGAAATATAATCCTACTTTTACAAACAAAAGAGTGATTTACATGAAGAAAAGAATACAGCATTGTTAGGCAAAATACACTGTCCATCTTAATTAGCCTGAGTGTGACCTTGTAATATGAAAAAGTAATATAGTGATTATAAGCTCTGTTTCAGACTAGGCACTTCCTCCATGTTTGGGTTTTCATGCTGCTATAATGGGTAAAAATAAACCAAAAAACTGACTGTGAAAATAGATACCCAGTTACTAGCTAACTGATTCTAGAAATAGTACTGAAACTAGATTCTCATTTGAACAAGTATGAATGCTGAAATAATATGACTGAACTAGGGCCTTTCATAACTAGTTTTAGAATAGTCTTTTATATTAGAACTATAACATAACATTGAAGAAACTAAAATTTTGTGTTGAAAATGAAACTGTCTCTGTAAATCAGTGTTTCCAAAACTTTTTTCAAGGGACCCATGTTTTAAAAGTCACAAACCTTCGTGACCCAAGTTAATAGACATTATTCATAAATCGTAATCGTAATTCGTAAATAAAATAAAGCTGGACAATTAGTATTACTCAAGTTTTAAAGAATGAAAAACAGTAATTGAACCAGCAATAAAATGAATCCATAAGTCGCCTGTCTGGACATCAGTTGAAACAATGAGGTGACAGACCCCCCAATCAAAAAGTTACACAGTGCACCTTTAAGCAAAAGATACAGAAAAAAATACTATTCAGGTGGTACATAAAAACAGGTGTCTGTAAAGGTATCCAGCCTTTTTCTTAGTATCAAATGGAGTATTGTAGCGTAGTCTATCGTGACTACACAAGAAGAGAACTGAAATGAGCCGTAGCTCTGAGTACAATGTTTTTGGCAGAGGCTGTGGGGCTTGAGTTACTCTGTAAGGGGGACAGACTGTAAAAGCATGAAAAGCTGCTTAATTGGAGAATGAGTGAAAGCAGGTGAAGAAAGAGCAGGTTTTTGGTTTCAAAGAGTCACAGGGGACGGCAAAGCTAATCAGGCTAAAGCATGAAGCTAGTGTAGAAAAACAACTGCGCTGGGCTGTTTTTGGTATGCTAATGCACCAAAAGGGAAAAATAGGCCATGTACTGTCATTTAATCATTACTTTTAGATTGCAGTTGCCAAATAATCAGCAGCACTTTCAAGCTTTGAAGGTGCATTGTGCAACATTTCTGGTGGAAGATCCATCAAATGCTCTTCTCCATGGAGATGTTGCTTTGTCTGGAGTGTTTCACAGTATTAAACCTTTCTATCTTCCTCGAGACCAAACCAAACGAAGTTACAGGTCATATCTGTGGAGAGGCAACCCCGCTCACAATCAGAGTTCTTGTTTTTCTATGCATTTTTGTGATATAACGTCACCTGTATTTAAATAAATGTAAGGTAGAGCCATTTAATGTCATACTGTGGATTCATAGAAACAAGCAGGTAATAAAAAAAATGTATACAGTGCACTTTTAAATTAAAACAGGACTAACCATGGTGAATCACTGTAACTGAAATCTAGAACAGACTTCCTGAACATCTGAGACAAACTTCTGCTTTGACTGTTTTAAATCAGGCTCAAAAAAAGTTCTGTGATCTGAATGAAATGTGTTTAATCAGCTCTCTTCTTTATTATTATTATTTCTGTTTTGATCTGTTTGTATTGTGAGTTTAAAGTCTTTCTTATTATTATGTAGTAGTAGTAGTACTTTGAATTACTTTGTGTATGAATTGTGTTATACAAATAAACTTCTCTTGCCTAAAACAACAATTGGATGCAAAGTTCTCTAATGGTTTTCAGTTACTGCATTTAAATACACAGAATTCTCAAACAAAAAAACAAACAAACTAACAAAAAAAAAAAAAAATACAAAAATGCTACTATGCTACCACAATAAAATTTAAGTTGTTAAAGTTTGCTATGGATAAGTAACCCCAGAACCAGAATTGTAAAACTGATTTTTTTTTTTTTTTTTTTATTAGATTAGATTAGATTAGATTAGAAAACTTTATTTATCCCCAAGGGGCAATACTGTTTGCAGTCATAGACCACAGCATAAAAAACACACACACATTTCACACAGGTCAGGTGCTCGTACAATTATGGGCATCAGAGCTGAGCATCAGAGCAAAATGGGTTTAATAAAAAAATTTTAAAAGTCTAGATTCACGTTTTTTACTCTTTGTGATGTCATGTAAATTTTGTACAATTTCTGTATAAGTCAAATAAGCAAATTTTGAATAAATAAATAAACAAAAGTCTACATTGTACACTCATTGCGATATGCCATGCAAATTCTAAATGGCTGGCTGATGCTAATGGCTCATATAAACGCAACAATAACTTTCCAAACCTAAACCAATTGTAAACGAGCTAACATCTTTATTAGCCTGGTGTGTATTGTTCTGGGTGTAATTAAAAAAACATATGGCACTGATCATGTCTCTGTAACAAAGGCTGACCCACTGACCCGCCATCCACAGTTCGCCCAGGGGTAACGAGCGTGCACGAGACTCTGCGTGTGCACGTGTGCATGAGAAGATGGAGTGTTGTTATTTTTCTGTCTTAACAAAACAATGTGCCCTGATCCTTTAAGAGCATCTCATGAGCAAGGAATGAAAAAAATTTGGCTTGGAGTAGATGGTTGCTTCTTACAACTGTGTTACTCAAATAAAGGAGAGTAAGAATTATGTAAAATGAGATGGTGTAATCCCTCATTTGTCCAATAAAATATAAACAATACTCAATGCAATAGTTTGGTCATCTCCAAAGAAAATCTGATACAAGATTTTGTATGGCGCCTACTCAAGTTTTACCACACAACAAACTGACTTGTTGTTGAACAAAATGAATAGTTCAAGGATTGAAACTGGCACAAACACATTACCTCTTTGTGCACATCAATGTTTTTATTGTTTTTAATGTGTCTGATCAATAAACAAATAACTAAACTAAACTAACTAAACTTTACTGTACTGGTAAAATACAAAAACACATGTTTTATGGCAACTTCAGTCAAGGCAAAACAACCAAAAATAAAACGTTTGTTAAGTGAAACCATGACTAATACACCAGTATTAGTTAAAAAGTAAAATGTGAATGCCTTTACACCCAAAACTAAGTTCATTCAGTGTTTTTTTCCTCGCATTTTACTACTTTCTTCTATACATACAAATACCAAATATCAAAAAAGTAGCAAAAATAAAGAAAATAACCTGAAAATGATTAATTAATGAGATGGTGTGAGTCTTGGTTTCAAAATCAAGAAAGCGTGACTGGAAACACAAGTTGTAAGAAACTCCTACTTCAAACTGATCATTCACAAAACTATTGATTTTTCTAGTACTATATAACATCTGAGGAATTTAGAGACATGCAGTTTACTAATTTATAACACTTTGGTTCAGATTAAATGCTTAGTAGACAGTCACGGTTAGTTTACAAAAAGTGAAACTTGATACATATTTACGATCAAGATATGTGCCACTTTAAATAGGATTATAAAACACTGGCAAACTGTGAAACATGATGATGATGAGGATGCTGATAAGAAAGAGTGGCGTGATTAGTGTAATTGCTCACACGGATTATAAAGCTTTACAAAAACAACTCAAACTCAAAATTCCTACCAGATTAGCAAAGAAAAACAAAAGATAAGTGTTAGGAAATCCGCAATAATCTATTTCCAAAACTATTTTCCAAAGCCAACCATGAAAGAAAAACAGAATTCTTTGTTATATTTTCTCTACAAATGACCAAGAAAGAAAGTAATTCAAGAAAGCATGGCCAAACCAACACTTGAGGACAAAAATGAAAGTTTACAGTTTTGAAATTGTACAAAGAAAGAACATTGTGAACTCACCAGAAGTCCTCCAACAGCAGAAGTTGGAGAAAAAGTATTTCCCGACAATGTAAGTTTCTCAAGCCAGCCGTTTCCTGGTTCTGCTTTTTGTTACAAGAACCACAAACAAAACACTTTTACGCTTCAGTTATTCAAATGTTAAATGGCTTCCTAATAATTATCCTTCAATCTTTTGCTACTTCCTTGTGTTTTTGTTGTAGTAGTAGTAGTTTTCTCCCGGCACTATATGGTCCACAACAAAGGAACTGCTACTACTATTACTACTACTGCAAATCCTGCCCAGCGAATGAATGAGCGGCAGGGGCGGCAGGGGCGGGCAGAGGGGGTATGTTTGATTTGCATATCGCGAAGGGGAGGGACGGGTGGAGACACCAAAAAAGAGAGAGAGAGAAAAAGAGAGAGGAGGAGGAAGGGGGGGGGTAGGCTTGGCTGTTTATGCATGTTATCTGTGGGCCAAATCGACAGGCAGTCAGTCACCTGCCTCTGGATCTGGCAGGGGCTTTGGGGGGATGGGGGAGGTTAGAGCAGGGTTAGCATGGGGCTAATGGGGCTAGCGTGGCGAGGGTCCCGGGGGAGGGTCCGACAAGGAGACGAAGGAGGGAGGAGGGAGGAGGGAGGAGGGAGGAGGGAGGAGGGGTTAAAGTGGATTAGAGCAGTTGTGATTGAATTGTAGACAGCCGGGCCAACTCCAAACTCTATGGAGAAATAAACAGTAAAGAAGTAGTAAAAGTAGTAGTAGTAGTACTAGTAGCAGTAGTAGTAGTAGCAGCAGCAGCAGCAGTAGCAGCAGTAGTAGTAGTAGTAGTAATATCATAGTAGAGTAGTAGTAATAGTAGAAGTAGCTTTTTTTCAGGCTGGGTTACTCTGGGCTAGGATTTCAAAAGTACTATTAGTATTACTGCTTAGTAGTAGTAGCATTAGTACTAGCAGCAATAGCAAAACTATTAAAAAAGATAAAAGTAGTAGTAGGAGTAGAAGTAATAGTAGTAGTAGTAGAAGTAGTAGTAGTAATAGCAATAATAACAGTAGTAGTAATAGTAGTAAGTAGTAATAACAGTAGTATTAGTATGTAATAGTAGTAGTAGTAGTAGTTATAGTAATAGTTGTAGTAAAAGCAATAGTAGTAGCAGTAATAGTAGCAGTAATAGTAGTAGTAGTTATTGTAGTAGCAATAGTAGTAGTAGTAGTAGTAGTAGTAGTAGTAGTAGTAGTAGTAGTAGTAGTAGTAGTAGTAGTAGTAGTAGTAGTAGTAGTAGTAGTAGTAGTAGTAGTAGTAGTAGAAAAGATCAAACTGTATCCATGTCTCCATAAAGCATATTTAGGTCTTGTATTTTGATCTTAGTTGGGAGTTAATGCAGTACAGTCCTCTAGTAATACACACACAGTACAATAATACTGGCTAAGGTTGTAATACAGACTGAAGTAGTAGCTGTAAAAGTTTAAGTGTAAAAGCATTTTTACTTCAATGAATCATATAACCTTAATATTTATACTTAGAAAATGACTCAAAAGGGAAACTTTGACTTTAAGTAAATTAATTGTGTAATCTCTTCCATGTAGCTGTTAACTTGAAAACTACACATTTATGACATCACAAGGTGGGACAGAGCATTTTGAGCTTTGGAGATGTGGACAAACTAAAAATGAAGGATTTACTTATTATTATTGAGGAGGTAACAGCATTATAACATGGCTTAAACCACACAATAGTGAATTTTGTGTAATATAGAGCCTGTAAAATGTAGAGCTATACTACATAACAACTTGTAGACAGAGGTACTGAAAAGATCTGTAAAACCCACACAGATTCAACTCATTGACCGAGCCCAGGGGGAGGTCTTATATTGAGTGCAACCTTAGCCGTGTGTCAGGGAGGCCAGAGAAAGCAGCAGTCAGGAGCCAGACACTGAGCAATGTGCAACAGAGCAAAGAGGGACAAAGAGGGGGAGAGGGAGCTGTCACTAAAGACATCTTCATCGGAAAGGATCACTCATATATACTTGAAAACTGCTGGTGTGCAGTTCACAACATTTTATTCACCTTATTCCAGAAGCTGCCGTGCACTTCCATCATCATTTGGATTGTAATATTTTTCATGGGGCACCCAATCTTGACAGCAGATAAGTTCAGTACGGACTATGAAGCTGTTTTAAAGCCTCCCAGAAAATCAGAGCAGTGACTTGTTTGCACATGAAATTTTAACATTTTACACAAATGAACTGACTTTATGTTACATTTTAGGTACAAAACATTTCCCAAATTCTCAATTGAAATGAATAATATCCCAGTTTAACCAGAAGTGTCACCAAAAGAAAGCACGGTTTATTAACATTTGGAGACAAAAGCGGGCAAGGCTGAATAAGGTGAATAGTACACCTTGTGATGTCATGAAGTGGTAGTTTTGAAGTTTACAGATATACCATTTACCTTTTGTTTAGCAGAGATGGCAATTCCAGGGTTGAAATCCTCCAAATGATTCTCGTGAAGGAGTACGGACTTTAAAAACACACTGAAGCACTCAGCTTAAATATGCATGGATTGTGTGTTAAATAGGGGTGTAACGGTAAGTATATTTGTGCCGAACCATTTCAGTACGAGATGTTCGGTTCGGTTCAGGGCTGTGCGTGAGTGAATTCATTCAATTTGTGTGTGTTTACATTCCACCACTACATGTGTAGCTACACAGAAGGCTCAGCTCTTTCATATTCACAAGGAAACTCGTCCGTGATTGGGGTGGCAGTGTTTCCGACAGCACTTTATAGTTAGGGCAGCCGCCTTGACAGCAACTGTCCCCGGCCTTGACTATGTCCCTCCAAACCACGTGAATCCTCATAAAACTACAGTCATTGTGGCGCGGTCCTCACTTTCACCCTTCGCTGGCACATAATCTCTGCCCCCCCAAGTTGTTTTTTCTGGCCAAAAATATGAAAATTAAGTAAAATTTCATACTGTAACTGTTAGTTGTGCGCTTTACTTTGTGAAAAGTTTTGTTTACTGTTTACAAGGAATTTATTTTTTATAATATTTAATTCATTTGTTGTTTATTTGGGAATATTTTATTTAATTCATAAGTATTACCAAGCAACTCTTTGCATTTATTTTATTTTCCCGTTTGTAAAAAATTAACCGAACCGTGACCTCAAAATCAAGGTATGCACCGAACCGTGATTTTTGTGTACCTTTAGGCCCCTAAGTGTTAAACATGTGTGAATGAAACAAAACTCCAGGTATGTTTTTGATGAGAAAACAACATTATAACATAGACATAATAAAATATTCACCCTTTATACTATGAAACAGAATCGTACTTTTAATCATACATCTAAAGTACGCGGCCCCACTGAACCACCAAACCATTTACACAAAACAATATAAATTATTTTTGTATAGTGAAAGTAACATTATCTCATCATATTCAGTCTAAATAATGCAATTTAGATTCAAATCAAAATAATACCCATTTTTTAACTTTTATATTTTCATGTGATTTTAATGATGATTGATTCTTATTGAAATTGTGAGAAGCCTCATTTTGGCTTTCATTCACTGTAAACTGAACCTTGTCATCAGGATAATTTGTCATTGAAATATAATTAAGTCCTACTTGCACCGCCCCAGAGAACGCCATTGAATCTTATTTATAGTACCATAAATTACATTCAAAAAGACTGCCAGCTTTGAAATTGAATTGGGTAAAATTGATCTCCTTTGAGAAAGATTATTTCTATATAAACTCAATTGTATTATCTTCCTTTGCCACATTTCTTCAGTATTTTTTCCAAGCGAGATACAGCCGCATAAACAACTGTAGATAAGACACATATAGTTCTTTCTCATCACAGTAAAACCTTGTATCTCTCATGTGCACACACCAAGTATTATTTCTGCTGACTACATATTTTATTTGTCTATTTTTAAAGGTGCATTGTGTAAACTTGTCTGGTGGAGAGTCCGTCAAATGCTTTTCTTAGTGGAGATGCTATTGCTTTGTCTACATTGTTCTACAGTACACTGTTAAGCCTTTCATGGAGACCAAGTCAGATATCAAGTTACAGGTCAGATCTGGGGAGAGGCAACCCCTCTCACAGTCAGAATGCCTGTTTTTCAAGGTATTTTTGAGCTTTAAAACCACCTGTAATTGAATAAATGTAAAGTAGAGCTGTTTAATGTCCTACTGTGGAACATTCCAGGCAGAGAAAGTACAAGCAGGTGATGAACTCTCACCCAAAAGTTACATAGTGCACCTTTACTTGTATTACATAAACATGGTACTTGCTTGCAAGACAGTTGTGAATATACACAAGTAGCTATCATGTTAACACAAGAATACATAATAGATACAAGAATTACATGGCGCACCTTTAAAGCTGCAGTATGTAACCTTTGTGCCAAAAAAATTAAATAAAAGTCTGTGTGTGTTTATTGCACTGAAAAACATAAAAAAAAAAACTGCATCCTTAGTCTGAGTGTGCTTGCATCTTTGCAAATCTGGCTCTTATTTGGTCTAGGAGTGGACTTCCTCCTGCTTGTTTCCATGGAAATGTTGTCCCTTTGGCTATAATCTTCCAAATTACAGCTTTAAGCCAGGGGTCTTTGACTGGCCCCCCAGCCTCTCTGCCCCCCAACATTTGAACTGGCCCTATGAAGCAGTCCCCAAAAGTTGTCATGACCTTTTTTTTTTATTATTATTATTTTTGGCAAATATTAACACATCTGCAGCTTGTATTTAGTAGATTTTTCAATTAAAAATGATATTTATGTGAAGTATTTATATTTATATTTAAATAATTAGATGACGTATTCACATTTGCTGCTGAATTTTCATCACCTGACGAGCTCGAGATCAAACAGCGAGAGTCAATGCACGCACAGAGTTCTGTAGTGTAGTTAAGGACAGCAAAATGACTAGTTAAATATGAAAACTTGACAGAGAGTGCCGAGTTTTCAAAGAACAATGGACAACTGATTTTTTTTTTTTTTTGTTCAGTGTAAGAACCATGCAGTTTGTTTGATATGTAAAGAAAGTGTGGCGGGTTTCAAATAATATAATCTGCATTGTTGTCAGGGTCATACAATTCTGTTATACGGCCGACCCAACCCCGGCCCCCATCACAGCCAGGAGTGATAATGTGACCCCCAGAGAAAACTGTTTGGAGACCCCTGTTTTAAGCTTATCTAAGTCTTATCTAAACTTCCTGAAATCAAGAAGGTGACATGCCACTTCAGAAAGTTACTGTATCTTTAAACAAGCACTGTGTATTTAAACAGACTTT